TTCCTGCTGCCCGGTTCTTTGCCGTGTGTGGGCGTATTCCTTCTGTCTGCCCACGAGGAGTAATACCCATGGCTTCATATGCCAAATCTACACTGCTTGCCATGAAGGTTTTCCCCCCATTTTGAGGAATTGTTGCAGTTCATGTCACATCACTAATGCTTTGCTTTACGTTTTATTTTCAGTCACTTTGGCTCTCTGTTAACTTAAGTTTTTATAGCCATTTGTAAAATTAAAAGTGCTTTTATTTTACATCTTAACCCCCTAAGTACTTGAAAATGAGCTGTAATATATATACATGGTTTGTATAACTTATTACTTTTTTGATTACTGTTATTTTTAAACTCTGGAGGACGTTCCCCTGTGGCTGCTGGCGCATCACTAGAAGGTGACCCAGGCAGCCAGAACACACCTGTGCTCCACGTCCTCATTCGAGGAACTGTGGGCGCCCAGCACCTTGACTAGGTTTCAGTCTTTTAGCCTCAGTGAAATGATTGGAATTAGGGAAGCCATACCCCTGCCCTACCACACATAGGGATGGTGATGGTAGTGTTAAATTTGGAATTTCCATGTCACAAAATGTTCAGTAGCCGGCCTTTACCTGTAAGAATTCTTTTCCTCAAATGAAACTCAAACTAAAAATAAAACAAATAATTTCACGTACTTACACCATGGGCCTAAGTAGTTCCATCTGTATCTCAAAATCAGACTTGTAATTGTTGACTAGTTTTTTACTATTTTTTTTTGAGAGTTAGTTTAAGATCCTAAAGTGTCTAGTGTTTTTATTCTTTACTGTGTCTCAAGAATTTTCTCTTCCAGATGTGAGAATAAAAGTACCCATGAGTTTAAGCCGCAGAGTGGAGCAGAGATGAAGGAAGGTAATGTGTAAAGAAGAGCTTTGTTTCTGACCTGTTTGCCCAGACTCCCGCAGGCCACTCTGTTGAGGCTACGGTTCAGGAAGACCTCAGACCTCAATAAAACCAAGTTTATTGAATGTTAGTTTTCCTGTTCTCAAAATATATAGGGGTTATGGGGCCAGCAGGTGATGTGGTGGTTAAGGCTCTGGATTCCCACATGGCTGACTACCATAAGGGCCAAGCGAATTAGGAACCATGTTCAAGTCCCAGTCCTGGCAGCTTACTTTCTCACTTTTTCTCTTTCTTCCTCCAACTATGTGTGTGTTTGTCTGTCTGTCTCTCTGGTGAGTACGTGTACCCCATAGCAAATTAAAAAATAATAAGAAATTAAAAATTCTTCAAATATATATATGTATGTATGTATGTGTATATACGTGTGTGTGTGTCTTATTTATGCCCAAGACTTTTCTTCCTTTCTTTCTTTTTTATTTTTCTAATTGCTGGTTGGTGTATTTATGCTACAGGGAAGGGGAAAAATCACCCCCCAGTGGTGCATGGTCACACTGCAGCACTGCAATCTCTTCCCCCTTTCTTCAGCTGACTGGGATTTGGGGCACTCATGTACATATGCCTGACATGATTTTCTGGTTTTGTTTCTTAAAAATATTTTTTGGGGGGAGGGGGGAGGTTTTTACTATAGGGTGCGTGCGCTCGCCAGAAAGACAGAGAGAGATAGAGAGACAGAAAGTGAGAAATTACCCCCCGGGGGGATGGCCACGCCACAATCCCTTCTCCATTCTCCTCTTGGGATCTTGGGCATGCATACACACACACCTGGCGTGAGTTTAAGCCACAGGGTCTGGGATTCAAACTGCAGTTGGCTACATGGTAGTCCAGCAACATAGCCATTACGCTAACTGCTGGCCCCAAAAACATTTTTTTTTTTTTTTTGAGAGAGAGACATTTGCATGCACGTGTGTTTTCCAAAGAGACAGAAAGTGAGAAATTCCCCCCCCCCCCGGGAGTATGGTCATGCTGCAGTTCCTTGGGGTGCATATGGACATGTGCCTGGCATGGGTTTTAAGCCACCAGGTCTGGGTCTCAAACCGTGGTCAACTATGTGGGAGTCTGGTGATGTAACCATTATGCCATCTGCTGGTCCCCTGACCCGTTTTTTAAGTTGCCAGGACCAGGACTCAAACTGCAGTTGCCCACATGGGATTGGTCTCCCTTAATCACTAGGCTAAGGGGTCAGCTCTCAGACCATTTCAAATAAAGGTAGAAATTCACTTGTGAATCACATTTCATCAGCTTAGAATTCATGAAAAGTTCATTTGTAAAATTTTTCTTTTAAATTTCTGAGCATATTAATCTAAATGAAAGACATCTCTAGAATGTTACTTGGGAAAGGTGATCCCTAATTTACAGAGCAGTGCTATACTCTTCCGGAACTACTAGCAAAGGCATTTACGTAGATGAGTCTTATAAATAGTGTAACACACAGATTGGCCCGTTCACTTCTTCTCCCGGTCAGCGTGGCGTCCTCCCCTCTGACAGTGGTGGGGAGCAGGGCTAGCCAAACAACTGGAGACTCGGTCATTGAGCCAAGATTGACGGAGTGCTGGCTAGGTGCCAGGTACTACCCTGGGAAATTAGGGATGCAGCCATGAATGAAAAGGACGAAAATCCCCACCCACCCAGGGGCAAAGAGGTGTTGCAGTTGGAGTTTGGGGTTGGAATTTCAGAGAAGGTGACCAGGAAAGATAGTGACAATAAGGTGATACTTGGATAAAGGCCTGAAGGACGGAGCTACCAATTTAGATAGGTTGGGAACAAGTGTGAGGCCCTCAGGCAAGAGCATCCCTGGCTTGTTACACATGCAACATAGAAGCCAGGTCAGCAGTGGGTGAACAGGGATGAGGAAGAAGATGAGGCCTGAACAAAAAAGGGCCCAGGCTGTGCAGGGTCTTGACTGCCATGAATCACCTCAGCTAAGTGAAATGGAAAGCCTGTCTTCCTTTTTACTTATTAGTTTTTTCACAGGACACGTGCATGCCAAAGAGACAGAGAAAGAAGGAAAGTGAGAATTCACCTCCTAGGGGGTATGGCCACACTGCAGTCCCTCTCCTCCACTCTCTTCTCAGGATTCTGGGTCTGAAACTCCAACTATGGTGAGCCTTGTGATAGTCCAGCGTCTTAACCGCTACACCACCTGGTGACCCCAGAAAGCCAATCTTAAGATCTATAGTGTGGGGCTAGTGGGTGGCATGGAGGTTAAGGTGCTGGATCCCACTGGTTATGCAGTTTCAGTCCCAGACTCTGCAACTCGAAAATCAACTGGGTGCATGTGCGTGACCAAAATCGCAAGAGGAGAATGGAGAGGGATTGAGTCATGGCCATCCCCCTGGGGAGTAATTTCTCACTTTTCCTCTCTCTGGTGAGCACATGTGCCCTATAGGGAAAAAATAATTTTTTTTTTTACAGTGTGTGGGCCAGCCAATATTGTGGTATTTAAGATGGCTGGATCCTATAGGGCCAACTGTGTAGTTTGAGTCCCAGACCCTGTGGCTTGGAAAACATGTCGGGTGCACGTGCATGTCTGCCCAAAAATCCCAAGAGGGAAAGGAATTGCAATGTGGCCACCCTCCCCAGGGACTTTCCCTCTTTCTCTCTATCTCTCTGGAGAGTGCACATGCCCTATAACAAAAAAGAAAGTACGGCATGGGCCCAGCCCCTGCAGCGCAGTCAGTAGTACCTCGGATTGCAGAGCTGGCAGCCACATGCTCACTGTGGTTTGAGTCCCTGCTCCGGTCAGCTTGAAAGCATGCCTAATACACGTGCATGTGCCCTCATCCCAGCTGGAGGACTGGAGGGAGAGGATCCCAATGTGACTGAGCACTGTGGAGGGTGCCTCTGTCTCGTTCTCTTTCTCGTGCTCACACAAACGCACACATGCATTCTAGCATGAATAAAGTAAAAAGTTCAGACTTCGCTCTGTGGTCTGGTATTTAAAGGATCTGATCCCACTTGGCTGATTGCAGTTCCAGTCCCTGCTCTGGTGACTTGAACGATGTGCCAGGCACATGCATGTGTGGCCCCAAGCCCTGATGGGATAGAGGAGAGTGGATTTCCAGATGACCGCACCCCTTTGAGGGGGTGCTTTCTTCCTCTCCTGTTCCTTCTCCTCCTCCTTCTCTCCCTCTGATAAACACACATGCTTTCTGGCAAATTTGAAAAATCAAAATTTCTTTTAAAGATTTGTAGTGTGACTTTCACCATGTAGTACTTGGGACACAGCTAAGGGTGCTGTCTATGACAAAGCAGCCAGCTGGATATGATCTCAGACCAGACCGTCTTTGGGCCTTCCTTTTCTTTTCTGTAAAAGGGTACTTCTTGCCTTACCTGCCTCATGGAGCTATTAAGATAAAAATGAGATTTATGAGAGCACCGTAATAAGGAAAGTTACTGGCAGTCACTGAAGATGATAAACTGGTTCGACCGTAACAAGTGACTTAAACTGTGTGCCTTGTCAGGATTCTGTTTTGCTTGCTGATCTCAGTTTTGTCCCCCTGCTCTTACTAGGATGTGAAGCACCTAGGGCTGCCAACGCAAGTTCTTTTCACACAACTCCCAACACGTCTCTGGGGCTGGTTCAGGCAACGCCTTCCAAAGTGCAGCCGTCACCCACCGTGCACACCAAAGAGGCACTAGGTAACGCGGTCTGGGAGGGCAGAACCCACGGCAGACTCTAGGGAGCTCTCTGACAGCCTGTTTCCATTGTTCTGTTTCTCAGGTTTCATCATGAACATGTTCCAGGCCCCGACCCTGCCTGATGTTTCTGACGACAGAGATGAATGGCCATCACTAGATCAAAATGAAGACGCATTTGAAGCCCAGTTTCAAAGTATTAACAAGTTATTTAATAGCTACTGAGTGCAGAGCATTGCGGGTGGTGGTCCCAGAAGTATCAAGGATTGTACAAGTTATGGTCCTCGATTAGCTTGTCACATATGGCAGGGGATGCCCGAAATAAAATACCACCATGTTTCACAGGGAACTGAACCTGGTAGATCTTGGCTTTTTAAAAAAATAACAATAAGTGCTAAAGAAGGACAAAATCCTCCTGGATAGGAATGACCAGGAAGGGCCAAGTTCTCGAGGCGTGGCTGGTAGAGGAACAGCCAGGGTGGAGTGACAGGCCAGCAACTAGTCGGCATTTGACTGGAGTTAGGGAATTCAGGCTGAAGCCGGAGATCAGGAAAGAGATAAGTAGGATCCAGTTAGACTTGGGAGGACTTAACATATAAGGCTAAAAGTTTCTTTCTTTCTTAAAGGAAACAGAGAATAAAGAGCTCGTAATGGGGGAGTGAGGTGACAAAAGCAGTATTTGAGGAGAATGATTAACACCAGGCTTTATATATGGTAGGAAGTGGTCTCTGCAGCCTCATTGTTGACTGCAGTTAGGTCACTTCACTTCACTGCAGAGTGACTTACCTTATTACCCAGTAGCTCAAAAGCTGATACCAGTTGTTTTCTGCAAGCTGTTATTCCTTTTTATTTGCAGTTGAAGTTAAGCATAAGATAGTCATTTTTCCTAGTATAATGCTATTTTTTTAAATTCTATTGCAGAAAATGCAAGATCTTCTGGGGCTTGGGGAGTGAATATTATCTCTTCTTTGTCATCTGCTTTACCGGTGTTTGAAGATGGAAACAAAGAAAATTACGGGTAAAGAAACACTTAGTTGCAACAACATCAGGAGAGATCTGTGTCATTACAGTGCCATGGGATGCTGTAGCCATTGGTCTGGGACTCGACGTGGTGAGGCAGTGGGGAGAGAGAGTGAACTGCAGACCTTACAGTCACACGAGTGTTTTGACCACATGACTTAGGGTGGGCGTTGCCGGATTATTCTCCAGATGTACAGTGCTTCGTGGGAGTCCCAAGGAAGCAGGTCTCTCATAGCAAAAGCACATGTCGGAAAGGACAACAGGTGGTTACATAACAGCAGAGAGCTGGGGAGTCTGGAGTTGAAGTTGTGTTAGACGTGAATGAATTCACCATTGCAGGTACATGCTCTGCGTTTGCAGAGAAAAGGCAGTGGCTTCTCTTGCCTGATGCTGTGGAGAATGTCTTTAAGGTTAAGGGCCATTTCATTAGAGAGCCACCTCTGGGGTAGAGTGGGGCAGTTTGAGGAGTTCTCACGGTTCCTAGTTTAAACCATGGAAGGAGAGATTTCGTGTGAATGAAAGGTATGCTGTGGTAGAAATTTACACTGAGAAGGAAAGGAGAAAGGCGTGGCCAGCTCTCTGAGAAGAATTCCATAGCTAGGCAAGCACTGAAAATAAGAAACAAAACATTGTATGCGTCCATGACGTTCTGCTGCCCACGGCCCTAATTCTTCTGCTTCTACGTTGTAACTCAGTGTTAGAAATTTCCATATTTTCCACCTTCACTATATAAGTAAGTAAGTAGCTATAGTCTCGGGCCAGCAGATGGCATGGCAGTTACATCACAAGGCCAACCACAGCTTGAGTTCTGGTCCTGGTGCCTTGAAAATCATGCCTGTCGCGTGTGCATCCAAGATCCCGAGAGGAGAATGGAGAAGGGATTGCTGCATGGCCATTCTCCCTGGGGGGGTGATTTCTCACTTTCCCTCTCATTGTCTTTGTCTCTCTCCTGCAAGTATACACACCCTAAGGCAAAAACCTCTTAAAAGAATAAAAGTGTAGGTCTACATTTGTATTTACAGTTAATTTAGTTTGGTTTGCACTCAGTTTTGCTAGAACTGCTATCAAAGTAAGGAATATCTATATAAATGTTAACTCATTAAATGGCGTAAGTGAAGATTTTTTGTCACACTTAACTGGTAGCATTTATTAGGTCGTTGGGAAAGTCATGACGTGTTTTTCTATGCAAAAATGTGTCATGAGGGACCAGATAACATAATGGTTACGTCAGTGGCCTCCCACATGAAGAACCACAGTTCAAGTCCTGGACCTGGAGTCTTGAAATTCATGCCAGGCATGTGTACATGCGTGTCCAAAATCCCAAGAAGAGAATAGAAGAGAAGGGATTGCGGTGTAGCTTTCTCTCTCTCTGTCTCTCCAGCAAGAGCATGCACCCTGTAACAAAAATCTCTCTCAAAAAAAAAAAAAAATTGCACCATGAATTTCCTGTCAACCCAGTATTTCCTAAACATATTTTATTATTTACAATTTTGCACATCTTTCCATAGGTTACCACAGCCTAAAAATAAACCCGCAGGGGCCAGGACCTTCGGAGAACGCTCTGTCAGCAGTTTTCACTCAAAACCAAATGTAAGCAAATACCTAATTCATCCCTGAAATGGGACTCATAACCCTTTCTTCTTCATTTTACCAAATGATTATGCCAGCCAAATAACATAGTATGTGTAAAACTATGCTGAAAAATGTGATGTTGTATGAAGAGTGCTTCTTATAGAACATTGTTTAGTGGTTGTTGGAGTGCCTATTACATACCAAACTCTGTGATAGATATAGAAAATAAAAATAGAGACCACCAGATGGCATTGTGGTTATGTCACCGGACACCCACGAAGTTGACTGTGGTTCAAGTCCTGGACCCAGGAGCTTAAAATTTACACCAGAGTGTGCGACCAAGATCCCAGGAATAGAATGGAGAAGGGATTGTGGCGTGGCCATCCCCACAGGGAATGATTTCTTGCTTTCTGTCTCCTTGGCAAACTCATGTGCCCAATAGCCAAATAAATAAATTTAATTAATTAATTTAAAAAACAAAGCTGATAGCTCTTTGCCCTCAAAGAGCTTCCCTTTAGACAGGAGGAACCACCAGGGGAGTATGTAGTTTCCCTAGGTGTGGGAAGTGAGGCCTACAGTGGACACTAGTGAGAAACCCAAACAGTCTGAATGATAAGTGAGCCATTGTCAGACTCCCTCTGCAGAGTCTCGCCTGCACACTGGCCCACAGCATTCCCCTGTAGTGACACTCACATGCCTAGCCCATGTTTGACTTCCACCCTAACCTGAGTGACGCCTCCATGGTGCCCTCTTTTCTCCCCAGCCTGGCTGGCTCTCTGATGTGAGAGAGCAGTTCTCTTGTCACCCTTAGAAGCTGTGCTGAGCTCTGGTTTATGCTTTTAATTCCGTGGTAGCTTCTTTTAAACAACCAACCTCTAGCTCTCTAATCCTTCCGATGAACTGTTTCACCTTGTTAAAACTTTCCCAGATGATGGACTAGATTCGAATTACAGTGGTATCACTTCAGAAGGGCATTTTACTAAACTGTTCAACTATATGTGCTTTGACTGGAAACAAAAAAAAAAAAAAAGCCCGCAATGTTTTTTTCCATATATCCCAGCCCTAAGAGTAGTACTGTGTCCACCCGAAGAAACAGCAGCCAGTTTTTCTATGTTGGAAGACGTGGGACTTATGAAGATAAGGCAATACAAGGAAACCACATGTGGCATTTTATGGACAGCTAAGGGGGTTTGTTTAGCATGATTCTGACTGAGCAGCCCCTGTCTTTGGGCCCACTCTGTGACTTGACCATTACATACTTAGAGAAATAGGTGATTCTAGGGCTGAGGCAGGGAAAATGCAAGGTGAGTCTGGAACATCTTGTTCCAAAAATGAGGGAATTTTTTTTTTTTCTAATGTAAAGATGGGTACATCACAAGAACACAGCCGACCTGAACATGCTAGTGGTCAAGCTTACAAGAAGATAAGTAGAATAAAGTAGTATTGCATCATAACCCAAGAAATAAAATATCTGTCCCTACCGATACAACTGGGGTGAAAGGATGTCTTTCACACAGAAGAGTTCCAACTGGGAAGGGATGAGTGGTGATAGGACATACCTGAGAACAGTCATCGCTAAAGGCAAGGCCACAGGCAGATTCTGTAGTGAGCGAGCGAAACTTGAAGAGGACACAGAATATTGGCATATCCTCCAAGTACTTGACAAAAATTATTTGTTTATTACTATGTTGGTTCAATTATCCACAGATTGTTTGGTGGCCTTCCCTCAAGGAGGTGGAGTTTCATTCCTCCTCCGTGTGTGGCTAGGATTGGTGGCTTGCTTCTTACAAACAGAGAAGAGAAAGGGAAGAATAGTTTACAATGGGGAATCCTGGCTGATAGCCGCTAATCATGCAGTCGGGTTAACCCCACCAGTAAAAAGTCTTGTTGATAGCATGGCTCCCCTAATATGAAGCGCTTTGAAGGGCACTTTTCCTCTGAATTCCTTTCCAAAAATCTGTAACTCCAGACAAATCATGAGAAAATATCAAATAAACTCAAATTAGAGCGACAGTCTACGCAGTTGCTGACAAGTATTCAGAAGTGTTGGTGCTGGAGGCACATGGCTGACTGCAGGTTCAGGGCCAGCCAGAAAGCATTAGGCACATGCACAGTGAGACCCTGCCGGGGGTGCCCCTCATCTGCCTGCCCCCTCTCTTTCTCTCATGCATTCACATGCTATCTCTATCATGAATGAAATAATAAACCTAAAAAAATTTTAGTGCAGGGAACCAGCAGTTAGCGTAATGGCTATGTCGCTGGATTCCCACGTAGTTGACCGCGGTTCGCATACCGGACCCGGTGGCTTAAAACTCATGCCGGGCGCGTGTGCGTGCGTGCCCAAGATCCCGAGAGGAGAATGGAGGAGAAGGGATTGCGGTGTGACCATCCCCCCTGGGGGGTGATTTCTCGCTTTCTGTCTCTATGTCTCTGTCTGTCTGGCGAGTGCACGTGCCCTATAGCAAAAATCTCTCCAAAAAAAAAAAAAAAAAATTTTAGTGCAAGAAAGACTAGGGAAGACCAATGGTTGTTCATAGAGTAGAGGAGACTAAGACATAGCAGCTACATCCAATTTGGGATCCTAGAACAGAAAGGGAACACTAGCAGAAAATTGGTGGCACCTGAAGAGTCTGTCGTTAATAGTGTTGCTTAGTTTTGACAGACATGCCAGGGTTCTGTAAGAGAAAGCTTGGTGAAGGAAATATGGGTTTCTATGCTGTCTTTGTAATTCCTTTGTAAATCTGGGCTTTTTTGCATTTAAAAAAATGTGGAAATTGAAAACAAATCACAAACTTGACCCTTGTTGCAATGTGATTCTCCTGGAGTTTGTTCCAGATGATATGTTAAATTTTATGAACAAAACAAGGAGAGCCCCCCCATTGCTCAGTTCATCCTCTGTTGTAGGAAGTGCCTCAAGTGGAAGAGTTTTTGGATGACTCCACCGTGTGGGGTATTCGCTGCAACAAGACCCTGGCCCCCAGCCCTAAGAGCCCAGGAGACTTCACCTCTGCTGCACGGCTTGCATCTACGCCGTTCCACAAACTTCCGGTGGACTCAGCGCCCATCCTGGACGATAAAGGTGTGTGTGCTCCTCTACTGTCGTCCGTCCTACCAACTCTGATTCTTTGCTTTTTTCTGTTTTTGGAGAGGTTTTTGCTATAGGGCACATGCGCTCGCCAGACAGACAGAGACAGAGAGACAGAAAGCAGGAAATCACCCCCCAGGGGGGATGGCCACGCCGCAATCCCTTCTCCTCCATTCTTCTCTCGGGATCTTGGGCACGCACACACACGCGCCCGGTGTGAGTTTAAGCCACCAGGTCTGGGACTCGAACCGCAGTCGACTATGTGGGAGTCCAGCAACATAGCCATTACGCTAACTGCTGGTCCCCCAACTCTGATTTTTTAAGTACTGTAGTTTTCTTAAATTCTCAGTGGGAAGTTTAGAAATCAGGAAGAAGAAACATAAGATCCATCCATTGTACTATTATCCATATTGTTTTCTCTTTCGCATATTGTCTTCATATGTATTTTTTTTTTTTTCTCTTTGGCATATTGTCTTCATATGTATTTTTTTTTATTTAATAACTTAGACTATACGTAGAACAGAGGAAAACCCTCTTGAAACAATCAAAGGCAAAAACTGTACATAAAGGTCACCCTCTTTGAATGGGATATTTTATGTTGCATAGCAGGTATAGGGCTACCATAGACAATAAATTATTTGAATGCTAAAACATGAACATTTATATTTTCTATTTACTTAATAGCCAATTTTGTGCTTGATATATGTCTGTAAATTTTACTATTTTAGACATACAACCAAGTATTATACTGTTATCTTTTTCTGATTGTTTCTAAATAATATGACTTTAAGAGAGTAATGACAAAACTCACAAGAAGTCATTATTTTTATGCCATTCTGAATCTATTACCCCAAATGTAGAGTCCTTTACATCTCTGAATTGAATCCTAATATAGTCATGTGATCCTTAGTGACAAGAATACATTCTAAGAACTGCAGTGTGGGAAGTTTATAGAGCATACTAACACAAATCTAGGTGCTACAGTCTGCTACACACCAGGCCGTGTGGGATGGCCTGCACGCTCTGTAGAAGACCACCGTCTCACGTGCAGTCTGCCATTGACCACGACGTTGCTATGTGGCACACGGCTGTGTGTCACCTTGTCAGTGAGCACAGATCATTACTAGCTGGTAGTACCATCCTGCCAGTATATACTGTCGAGGCTTTTAAAAATAGAATTGTTCACCCAAATAGTAATGAAAGAAATGCCAAAGACGTTCACTTTACCAGATGGAAGCACATTTTAATGTGAATTTTGAGTCTGTATACCTAAAGACTTTTGACTAAGGAATAAAAATTTTTTTTCCTTCGAATGCTCTTTCAATATGTTATTCCTTTTCTGCATCTTACAGGAGAGTTTAGTTGCAACTGGAACACTACCGAGTGCCATCACAAATTGCTATTTAAAAAAAATGTATTAAGTGTTTTTCCATTCAGAAAAAATAGTGTAATCAGTCAAAGTCTTTTAAAAAGTCAACATTGGCTATTCTTAGAATATTTGCCACTTTGGTTCTGTAAAGAGAAGCTAATGTTCTAGTGAGAAAAGTATTTGTTCCTGTTCAGTGAGGGAATGAGTGGTGAAATTTAGTTCCGCGTAATACCTGACTATGTATAGTATTAGCTTCTCTTGGTATATTATTCTATATATTCTATATTTCTGTCCTTGGCAGAAATAGTTTATCTGTCAGTGAGTTTTTGAAAAGAATTATTTATTTAACTCCATTCATGTATTCATTTATTTTAATTTGACCAGATAGAGAAAGTGAGAAAGCAAGCTGCCAGGTCCAAAACTTGAACCACAGTCAGCCATTGTGAGAGTCCAGCACCTTAACCACCATGTCACCTGCCAGTCCCCCCTTTGTTTTGGGGATAAAGGGGGTGACGATAAGTATTACCAGGTACCATTCTGATTTAAACATGAAATTTTAACTAAATAAATGGTAATTGATTGACCAAAACATGTAAAACTGAATATAAACCTCTATTCTCTGGAAGCATTGCAGTCCTTACTGTCCACGCCCTTGCCATCAGACTTTCCCAAAGCCTGGTGTGCTCACCAACTGGACCAGGAACCTCCCGTGATCTGCCCGTCCTGCCACAGGGGACCTGCTACTTGTTGTTTTGTTTCGTTTGTACTTTGCTACTGGGTACATAAGCTCAATGGCAAGAGAGAGAGAGAAAGCATGCCCAGGAAGAGTGGCCATGCCACAGTCCCTCTATTCTCCTCTTAGGATTTTGGGCATACACACATATGTGTCCAACATGTTTTTCAGGCCACTAGGTCAGGGACTTGAACCGCACAGTCACCTTAAATACTATGCCACCAGCTAGCCCAAGGACCTGCTGCTTTCTCAATCCTTTCTTTTTTTTTTTTTTTTTTGGAGAGGTTTTTCACTATAGGGCGCGTGCACTCGCCAGACAGAGAGAGACATAGAGACAGAAAGTGAGAAATCACCCCCAGGGGGGATGGTCACGCCACAATCCCTTCTCCTTTCTCCTCTCGGGATCTTGGGCACGCACACACACGTGCCCGGCGTGAGTTTTAAGCCACCGGGTCCAGGACGCGAACTGCAGTCGACTACATGGGTGTCCAGCGACATAGCCATTACACTAACTGCTGGTTCTAATCCTTTCATTTTTCTTGAATTAAATGAGAGAGTTGAAATGATCACATGTATTAGTAAGTTTTTTTAAAATGATTTACCCCATTTTTTTTTTTTTTATCTTAATAGCACATTTTACCAAGGAACTCTGTTTTGAAATTACACTGGAACCTGGTGTCAAGGAACCCTAGCCTTACTAACTGTATCAAATGGTGCGTGGGCACACGTCCACACATAATATGTTAATCTCTGCTTTTCTGTATTTTTCAGAAAATATGGTAGCAAGACAATATACCCCTGTAACTTTGGGTTCTTGTGAAGAAAACATGGTGGTGCCCACAAAGGACCGAAAGTTCAGGTATTGTGAGGCTCGATGTGGTTCTGTCATTCTCCCCATCTCCATTCTAGCTTTGCTTTCCAAGCTGTGATATGAGGCCCATTTCTACCCCTCAAAGGCTTATACAGTGTGTGTGGACTTGCGGTGAGAAGTCAGAAGGTGCTCTCTGTGGATAAGTACAACAATGAACCTAAGCCCTTGAAATATCCAAGCAATAAGAGGAGTGCTTGGGGAACAGACTCCCTGTGGGAACATTTTCTGTCACTGACTTCCACTCCTTTGGGGAGCAGATTTGGAGGTCCTTTTACCAGGCAAAGACCCCGGCACATAAAGGCCATTGCAGAACTGAGTAAGCAAATAATGGCTTCTTTGTTCCTGTCACATTTCGGGAAACAAGACTTTCTTGTTTTTAATGTTAGAAGGCACATGTGTGCACATAGGGAGAGAAGGCATCACCCAACGGGGCCTGGTCATGCCCCAGTCGTTTTTCCCTCAACTCTATCCTCCCAGGGTCCTAGCACACGTGCATGTGACAATATGTTTTTCAGGATGCCAGGGCCGGGACTCGAACCCTAGTCAGCCATGTGGTATTTCCTTCTCTGCACTGTGCTACAGAGCTAGCCCCAATAACTTTCTTTTTTAAGACAAAGAAGAATATAGAATATTTACAACTTGTAGGTACTGGTGCAAAATTCAGATTTACTGTACATTAATACTTGGCAGGAGTAAAATTCCACCATATTTGCATAGGCTGGTTAATCTAATCAATACTAAAAAATAGCTGCCATTTTTGAGTTTTCACTGCATTCTAGGCACAGTGCTTTAGTCTGTCATGTACTAGGTCCATTAGTAAATCTTTGCAATAGTTTTATTTATAGGAACTCTTACCTGTTATATATAAAGAAACCAGGTCTCAGAGGGCCAAATCACTGATCTAAAGTCACACAGATTCTAATTTGTACAAGTGGAATTTGAACCCATATTTTTCTGATTTGAGAACCTTTGCTTTTATTAATAAACTGTTCTACCTCTTATTACCAAAAACCTCTTTGTAAACTAAAACTATAGTGAAAAAATCATTAGATAAAAGACATGAACAGAATTTACATAACCAAGTAAGGAAAGTTAACTCAGGCCCAGCAGATGGTGTAATGGTTATGTCACTGAACTCCCATGTGGTTGACCGTGGTTCGAGTCCCAGGCCTGGTGGCTTAAAACTCATGGCAGGCACGTGAGGGTGCATGCCCAAAATCCCAAGAGTAGAATGGAGGAGAAGGGGTTGAAGCATGGCCATCCTCACTGGGGAGGTGATTTGTCACTTTCTGTATCTGTCTGTCTCTATATCTCTGGTGAACACACACACCCTATCATAAAAATCTCTGTCAAAAACAAAAGAAGAAAAAATAGTTAACTCTTTAATAAGTAAACTAATGCAAATTAAAGAGAGTTTTGCCTTGTAATTTAAAATTCTACCCAACAGGCACAGTCGGCACTGCCCACCCACAGTCTTCCTAAACCCCTCTGAACTTTGACTCACAAGACTGCCAGGAGCCATACTTGGCATAAAGTTCATTTAGAAATTGTAAGGCAGCAGGGTACATACATACTGTCTAGTGAACTGTTTTTTTGAGCCCCATGTTCTAATCCCTTTCGAAGGAAGTGAGAGTCACGCAGGATTCACATGGGTATAGGAGCTTCCCTAGCACAGGGGCCTATTCCCATGAGAACAGGTGGTTTTTCCAACTCCATGGATTTCATTTCCGGGGTCCCCGGGGAAACAGACACTAGAAAGCCTGAAGCTGTGGGTTCTCAGCAAGTACAGCAGTCTCCCCATTATCTGCAGTTGTGCTTTTTGCAATTTCAGTCAATTGCAGTCCAAAAATAGATGAGTACAGTGCAATAAGGTTTTTTTCAGGCCGGCCCCATAGCTTAGAGGTTAAGGGAACAAGATACCACATGACTGACGATGGTTTAAATTCCGGCCCCAGCAGCTGGAACGTGGGCCAGGTATACTTTTCTTGTATGTGCCCAAAACCCTGATGTGATGAAGAAGAGATTGTGGTGTTGGGGTTTTTTTCTCCCTTTTTCCTCACCCTCCCTGGTATTCTCTGGCAAGTTTATGTGCTCTCTAGAAATTTTTTTTTTAATTTATTTTTTGTGGTATTTCTTTCATGGGCACTCACTGTGGCTCTCAGAACATATCCCCTTGGATAAGAGAGGACTACTGTATTTATATTTCTCCTAGTCTAATGGAGTTTGCCAGTGAGGCTTGTTTTTGCCATAAGCAATGGTAGCAAGGTGCTTTTCTACCTTGTCATGTTCCCAGGGGAAAAGAGATGGAAAGTTACCTAAAACTCAGATGCTCATGGAGAAAGTTAAAGGGTTTTGTTAATCACTTATACACCCACCGTAATTTGAGCACTTATGTTGCACCTAGCGATGTACAAGGGTTTGGAAACAACTCTCTCTGCATAAAGGATACCTTGGATCTGTTTGGTTATAGCATAAAATGAAAGTATTTCAATATGTAGGAAGCGTGGAATTGTTCCATGCTAGCGTGCATCCACTGGATTAAATAGTATACAGTTGTTAAAATCCACAATTGGAAAGCCGAGAGACCTGGCAGTACGTAGGAGTCCAAGTGATCATGATTAATGTCACCAGCGATAAGTCACAGTGATACGGTGCGGTGAGGAGGCGTCGTACCGCTGTCACTTCCTTCCTAAACACCAGTAATCCCAGTCTGGTCACAGAGAAAACAGCAGAGATACCCAGATGCAAGGACCTGCTCTAGTACACCTGGTCCTGTACACCTCAAAACTGTCTTGGGAAACTGGGAAAGACTAAGACGTTTTCACAGATAAGAAAGAAGCAAAGAAATATGAAACTAACTGCAGTATAATATCCAGGACTGGGTCGTGGAGCAGATGGACGTTAGTGGAAAGTCAGGTGATTCCAGATGAAGTCTGGAGCTTAGCTCATAGTATTATTAAAAAATTGTCGATTAGTTAGTTTTGACAAAGGTACCACTGTAATGAGAATACATTGATAACAGCATAAATTGGGTGAGGGGTATATGGAGATTCTTTATTATTTTTGCATTTCTTTAAAGTTATTTCTAAAATTTAATTAGTTAAAACACACACACACACACGGTTATGGGGCCAGCTGGAGGTGTAGTGACTAAGGCAGCTAGATTCATACTGCATCGTGAGTCCTGGACCTGGTGGCTTGAAAAACATGCCTGGTACATGTGTATGCATGCCCAAAATCTCAGGAAGAAAATGGAAGAGAGGGAACTGCAGCATGGTCATCCTCCCTGGGGGTGCTTTCTCTCTCCTCCCTCCTTCTCCGTATCTGTCTGTCTCCAGTGAGCACCCGGGCCATATAGCAAAAATTTCCAAAAAAAATACGCAGTATGAAAACTGGTTGTGATAAGTGGAAATATCAGCATATGAAATTATATGTATAAAGATATATGTAGATATATATTTCTATGTTTGTGGATACACATGTGGATGTGTGTGGAGATATATAAGTCGATTCTTGTTATTCACTGTAGTTCTGTTCTGTAAAGTCACCATGAACACCAAATTAGCAAATACTGAGCCATTGTTCCTATGGGAAATACAAACTAAAGGTCCCGTGAGACTTTGGTCACAACGTTTTGTTTAAAGGCATTTATTTAATATGTATTATCGATTCATTAAAACTGAACCCATATCCAATAATACCATAACTTCTGCCTGGACAAAGTTTATCTAATACATGTATTTTCTCCATCAGAGAGTTCTTACGCTTGGGAACGCTAGCCAGCACTTCAACACATGATACTTGGGTACCATTTTAAACAGTGACGTCACCAACAAAAAGCAAAAATACCCAAAAAAATGGCACTAAGCGTACCACCAAAAGGATACTTATTTACAGTATGAGAGCTGAAACAAGAACAGTTACTACCTTTTTTTTTTTTTTGGAGAGGTTTTTGCTATAGGGCGCGTGCGCTCACCAGACAGACAGAAAGAGACAGAGACAGAAAGCGAGAAATCACCCCCCCAGGGGGGTTGGCCACACCGCAATCCCTTCTCCTCTGTTCTCCTCTCGGGATCTTGGGCACACACGCACACGCGCCCAGCGTGTTTTAAGCCACCGGGTCTGGGACGCGAACTGCGGTCGACTACGTAGGAGTCCAGCGACATAGCCATTACGCTAACTGCTGGTCCCACCACCTTTTACAACCTGAGCTGAGAATGTTATGTGTTGGATGGCTCAAGTTTTTTATCTCACTGTGTATCTGCAAATGACTGCAAAATCACAATGAATATTGACTTCAGGGTTACAAATTCAGCGTGCAGGCAAATTCACAAATATGAAATCCATCAATAATGAAATCAGTGATTTTTTTTATATATGCATATATTTCCACATGGTGTTGAGTTGTTAGATTAAGGTTGACATTTTCTGTTTGTCTCAATGTTATAAAAGAAGCCATTTTGGGCATAAAATAAATATTCAGTCTTGATTTCAGTAGTGTTGCTTAGATGCAGCTTGGGAGAAATAAACCCATTCCAATCTATCACTTCACCTATGTCTCTAACATGCCCATATCTTTGATTTTTTTTTTATTTCTATTTATACTGTCGTAGCTCTATATTTGCATGTTTGTCTAGAGAAAATGCTTTAATCAACTCAGTCTGTGAGGCTATTGTGAAATGTTGGTTTTGGAATGAACGTGGGGGTGGCAGGTGTAGCATGGTGATTAAGGTGCTGAATTCCCACTGGTTGTCCGCAGTGCAAATCCTCGACCTGGTGGCGCGTTTTCTCACTCTCCCCCCACCCCTCACTGCTGCTCTTTCTCTCTGTCTCTTTCATCAATTTTTTTAAAATAATCATGATGAACAAAGTTAAATAAAATAATTCTTTTTAAAAAAAGAAAAAGAAACTGTTTTGTGGGATTTTACGTGATCAAATCTATCGGTGTCTAATTATGCAGTGTTTTTGTCTGCTTTCTTTCATACATCTAGTCCAATTCAAGAGAAAAGCCCGGGAGAACAGGCATTCCCCACCAGCATATCTTCAGCAGCCTTACTCTGTGTGAGCCAGCCTGCTGCAGGTGGTGTACTTACCCATGAGGCTGAGCGGGGCCTGGAGGCTTGCAGACTCACAGACACGGGCCTTGCTCTTGCAGAGGATCCACCAGATGCTGTCACTGGGCTCCAAGCAGAGTGGATGCAGACTGGTTCATCTGGGACTATCCCTGCTCCAAGTATGAATAATTACTCAGCCTTAATTGTACCTCTGAATAAGGACAGTAGCCTAGGAAAAGCTCTTCTATGAAGGAAGCCCATAGTGGGGGCTTGAATGTTCTCAAGTAGAACAGACGTCACTGAGTTCAGACAGAACATGCATATTGCTTCACATTGTAGTACAGCAGCAGCGTAGTCGAAGGGCAGGTCCATGTTAATTTTAGAAGGTACCAAAATTACCACTGTTAGAAGAGGAAATTGGGATTTGAGGGCCTACTATGTGCCGGGCATTTCATCTAATACCGTTACCGTCAGTTTACAGAAAAGTAAACTAAGGTTCACGGTTAAACAGCTTTCCACAGCCCTCACGTTACACAGACACAGCCTTACCTAAGGGTCAGCAGCACAGATCCTGGAGATGCACTGGCTAGTTCTAATCCTAGCTCCCCCCACGCAGGCGGTGAATGGGGAAGACGCACCTGGTGCTGGTTGCCTTTGTCACAGCCTCAATCTAAACCTGTAGGTTAAAAATGGCAAACAATCACCTGTGGAACTACCAATTTGACTTTTGGAAATTGTTCTTTATTATTTAAATCAGTGTTCTATAAAATTTTTGAGAGCTTACTTAGTACATGTCTTCACTCTGTTTCATTGATAAAATTCTTAGGTACTGAATCTGTGTTCCTTTTTTTTCCTTTGTCCCATTCCTTTAAGACCTCACTGTTGAGAACCCATGGGATGATGCATTGATTTTCAAATTTCTATCTGGACTTTCTAAACCAGTGAGTTCTTATCCAAATACCTTTGAATGGCGTTGTAAACTTCCAGTCATCAGGCCCAAGACTGAATTTCAATTGGGTAAGAATTATTTGTGTAATCGAATTTTAAATTCTTATTTCCCTATGAGAAGTTAGTGTGTGTGTATGTGTGTGTCTGTGTGCGTGCATGCGCGTGTGTGTGAGAGAGAGAAGAGTGGAGGGCAGGAAGATTTTCCTCTTCCTCCTTCCCATCTCTAGTAAAGAGTTATATCTATAATATTAAGCTGAGAACATTTTGCTAAACCTTGGCTATGGTTGTGATTGCTGTTGGGGCTGTAACTTACAGAGGGCAATTTGGCAATCTCTGTCAAAATTAAAAATGCATACATTGTTAGACCCAGCCATCCACTTTTGAGAATTTCCTACAGATACGATGGTACACTTCCATAGTAAAATTAGTAACAACCAGGAAACACCGTCAACAGAAAATGATCTCCAAAACATACTGTTAAGTGAAAAGAGCAGAATGGGCCAGGCGGTGGTGTGGTGGTGAAGCCAGCTGGATCCCACATGGCCAACTTTGCTCTTGAAGTCCTGGACCCTGTGGCTTATAAAACATGCTAGGTGCCTGCGTGTGCATGCCCAAAATCCCAAGGACGGAGTGGAGGAGGGATTGTGGCATGGCTGTCCCCACCTCTACGTCCCATCCCCCAGGAATGATTCTCACTTTCTCTATCTCCCTCTAGAGCAAAAAAAAATGAAAGGAAATAACAGAACAATATGTACTATGCTGCTGTTTGTTACTTCAAGGGGGCGTGATAATATGCATTCACATTTAGGAGTGTCTTTAGAGAACTCCTGTGGGATACTCAGTTCAGATGGCGAGTTGGAATGGGGGACTGGGTGGCTATAGATAGCCATGGGAGCAAGGCTGTTCACAATGTACTTTTTAGGTTTTAATGAACACACTCTGTGTTTTATAACTTTTTTTTTTTAATTTGCCAGAGGGTTCATGCACTAGCTAGAGAGACAAAAAGAGGTAAAGTAAGAAAGCACCCCTCATGAGGAAAGGTCACACTGCAAGCTCTTCTCCATTTCTCTCTCCTGTCAAGGTTTTGGGCACACGTGCACACACATGCGCCTAGTGTTTCTCAAGCCACCACGTCCAGGACTCAAACCACACAATCGGCCATGTGGAATCCAGTCACTTTACCCCAGCTGGCCCCAAGCAACTTTAACAGAAAATTTCAGGGTAAAATAGAGTTCCCCTATACTTACCCCTTATACACACACACACACACGATTTTCCTACTAGCATCTTGCATGAGTGTAGCACATTCGTTATAATCGATGAGCCAATATTGATACATTACTGTTAACTAAAGTCTGCATTTTACATTAGGGTTTATTTGATGAGCCCATTCTGTGGGGTTTAACAAGTGTGTGATGACATGTACCCATCATGAATATATTGTGTGGAACAGTGTCACTGCCCTGAAAACCCCCTACCCCATGCCTTACTCCTTGCCCTTCAACCTCTGACAACTGCCAGTCCTTTCACTGTCTCTCTAGTTTTACTCTTTCCAGACTACAGTGTAGTTGGAATCATTATATGGAAAGGTGTCTAGCCTTTTCAGCTTGGCTTCTTTCATTTAGTACATGCATTTTAAACTGGTAGAAGACCTCAAGCCAGAGCTTCAAGCAGCACAACAAACCCCAAACAGGACAAAGAAAGCCATGCATAATGAAACTACTGTGTAGGTGTGATCCCGTTTCTCCTCATCCTTGCCAGCATTTGATGTTGCCATGATTTTTCATTTTATCCTTTTTTTATTTTTACAGAAGTTTTTTTTGTTTGTTTGTTTGTTTGTTTTTTTGTTTTTTTTTTTAACTTTAGGGTGTGTGCACTCAATGGGGGGAGAGAGAGGCAAAGACAGTGAGAGGGAAAGTGAGAAATCACTCCCAAGGGGATGGCTACACTGCAATCCCTTCTCCATTCTCCTCCCAGGATCTTGGGCTTGCACATATACACACCCAGCATGAGTTTCAAGAACTGGAACCACAGTTGGCCATGTGGGAATCCAGCAACGTAGCCACTATGCCATCTGCTGATCCCTCATTTTATCTATTCTGATTGGTGTGTAGTAGTATATTGTTGTGATTTTAATTTGCATTTCCCTTATGGCTACTAACGTTGAGTATCTTTTTGTATGCTTCCCATCTCTATAGCTTCTTAAAGGAAAAGTCTGTCTTTTACCCATTCTGTTCCCTTTTGGGGCAGGGGAGGAGCATCTACTGAATTGTCAGTGGCCTTTTTACTCTGAGTGCTGCTTTTTCTTTTTTGCTGCTAAGTGAGGACATTCGGTTAAGTGGGGACATAGATACTTGTCTTCCAGCCTGGTGCTGTTTTACTTAGTATTTTAACTTCCAGGATTTGTCCATTCCGTGTCAAATGACAGGTGATATTCTTTATGGCTGGGTAGCAGTCCACTGTGTATATGTGCCACTTTTTTTTTAAGAAGATAATTTCACTGGATGCAATTCTATGTCAGTAGTTTTTAAAATATTTTAGTCTACTTTCTTTTTCCTTATAGTTTCTAAGAAATCCTATGTAATTTTTATCTTTGTTTTTGTAAGTAAAGTATTTTAACTTCTCTGACTTTATTTAATATTTTAATTTTGTCCTTGATTTTCTGGAGTTTGAATGTGACATGCTTAGGAATACATTTTTTTATACTTATTCTGCTTGGTGCTGTCTGAGTGTACTGGACCGGTACTATGGTCTCCGTCATGAATTTTGGAAAATTTTCAGCCATTATTCTGATTTTCCCCCTCTTACAGTTCTATTTTGCATGTTATATCTTTTGTAGTTGACCCATAGTTCTTGACTATTCTCTTCCATCTTTTCCATTATTTTTTTCTGTGGGGTTTAACAAGTGTGTGATGACATGTACCCATCATGAATATATTGTGTGGAACAGTGTCACTGCCCTGAAAACCCCCTACCCCATGCCTTACTCCTTGCCCTTCAACCTCTGACAACTGCCAGTCCTTTCACTGTCTCTCTAGTTTTACTCTTTCCAGACTACAGTGTAGTTGGAATCATTATATGGAAAGGTGTCTAGCCTTTTCAGCTTGGCTTCTTTCATTTAGTACATGCATTTTAAACTGGTAGAAGACCTCAAGCCAGAGCTTCAAGCAGCACAACAAACCCCAAACAGGACAAAGAAAGCCATGCATAATGAAACTACTGTGTAGGTGTGATCCCGTTTCTCCTCATCCTTGCCAGCATTTGATGTTGCCATGATTTTTCATTTTATCCTTTTTTTTTTTTGTTTGTTTGTTTGTTTTTTTTTTTTTTTTTTTTTTTTTAACTTTAGGGTGTGTGCACTCAATGGGGGGAGAGAGAGGCAAAGACAGTGAGAGGGAAAGTGAGAAATCACCCCCAAGGGGATGGCTACACTGCAATCCCTTCTCCATTCTCCTCCCAGGATCTTGGGCTTACACATATACACACCCAGCATGAGTTTCAAGAACTGGAACCACAGTTGGCCATGTGGGAATCCAGCAACGTAGCCACTATGCCATCTGCTGATCCCTCATTTTATCTATTCTGATTGGTGTGTAGTAGTATATTGTTGTGATTTTAATTTGCATTTCCCTTATGGCTACTAACGTTGAGTATCTTTTTGTATGCTTCCCATCTCTATAGCTTCTTAAAGGAAAAGTCTGTCTTTTACCCATTCTGTTCCCTTTTGGGGCAGGGGAGGAGCATCTACTGAATTGTCAGTGGCCTTTTTACTCTGAGTGCTGCTTTTTCTTTTTTGCTGCTAAGTGAGGACATTCGGTTAAGTGGGGACATAGATACTTGTCTTCCAGCCTGGTGCTGTTTTACTTAGTATTTTAACTTCCAGGATTTGTCCATTCCGTGTCAAATGACAGGTGATATTCTTTATGGCTGGGTAGCAGTCCACTGTGTATATGTGCCACTTTTTTTTTAAGAAGATAATTTCACTGGATGCAATTCTATGTCAGTAGTTTTTAAAATATTTTAGTCTACTTTCTTTTTCCTTATAGTTTCTAAGAAATCCTATGTAATTTTTATCTTTGTTTTTGTAAGTAAAGTATTTTAACTTCTCTGACTTTATTTAATATTTTAATTTTGTCCTTGATTTTCTGGAGTTTGAATGTGACATGCTTAGGAATACATTTTTTTATACTTATTCTGCTTGGTGCTGTCTGAGTGTACTGGACCGGTACTATGGTCTCCGTCATGAATTTTGGAAAATTTTCAGCCATTATTCTGATTTTCCCCCTCTTACAGTTCTATTTTGCATGTTATATCTTTTGTAGTTGACCCATAGTTCTTGACTATTCTCTTCCATCTTTTCCATTATTTTTTTCTTTTTGCATATCGGTGTTCGATGTTTCTATTGGCATCTCTTCAAGTCCCTGATTCTTTTCCCGGCTGTGCAGTCAATTGATGAGCTATTAAAGGCATTCTGCGTTTCCGTCACAGTGGGCTTTTCTAGTTGTTTCTGTCCTTTTCATTGGCTTCTTTTTTAGTTTCCGTCCTTCTGCTTACATTCCCCACTTTTTCCAACCACATTGTCCACTTTTTCCATTAGAGTCCTTAGCATATTAATCTTATATATTTTCTTAAGTTCCTTTTCTGATTGCTCCAAAATCCCAGCTATATCTGCCTGTTTCTAATTCTTCATCTCTTCAAGCTATTTGGAGGATTTCTTTTTTTTTTTTTTTTTTTTTTTTTTAAAAACTTTTTTTTTCCCCCCGAACCTCTCCTTTCCATCCTATAGAATAACTTGTAAGTTTTTGTTAAGAGCCAGACCCGATGTACAAGGTAAAGGAAACTGAGATAACTATGCCTTTAGTGTGAGGGTTTATGCTTATCTGGTTGGGAGTTAGGCTGTTTACTGTTCACTGCCACTTTAAGTATTAGAAGCTATAATTTCCCTTTGTATTCTTATTTTCCTTTCCCTGTGGTCTTTAGGTTTCCCTAGAGACTCCTTAATAAGGTCTGAGACGTGCAGTGCTTCCCATTGTAGCCCCAGTACGGCTACAGCAGTGGTCTCTGCTCCTGGGCCTGCCTGGCAAGCTGTACTTCTCTGTGTCTGCCTGTCTTTCTCCCAGATGTTGGGGCCAGCGGTTTGCCCTATGCCCTCAGTTTTTTAATGGGTCTAAGAAGAGTTGTTGATTTTCACTTATTCTTTTTCTTATTGTGAGTGTGAAATGAGGACTTCCAAGCTTCTTTTTTTTTTTTTTTTTTTTCTTTCCAATTTATTTGCATTCATTCACTGTACATCATTACAGCATACACAATGAGATTTTCCATCCAGAGAGGACTTCCAAGCTTCTTATATGCCAGGTTAGAAAGTAGAAATCTAGTGTTTTCTGTTTTACATATGAATTTAAAAATCTGCAACTTCACCTCTGTGGTCTTTCTCCCCCAAACCAGTAGTCTTAGTTTACTCACAAGAAAAATATCAAATAAACCCAGATGAGGGACTTTCAATATACCTGACCAGTGAATGGCCTTTGGAACTGTCAAGGTCATCAAAAGTAAGGAACACCTGAGAAGCTCACAGTCCAGGAGAGGCTCAGGAAACGTGATGACTAATGCACTGTGTCCTGGGCACAGGAGGAGACTAGGAAGGCTGAATAAAGTGCGGGCTTAGTTAGCAGTCGCCTTCTCCCGCTGGTCCTACTCTAGTGACAAAATGCCGGGGTTCTGTAACACTGAGCACCGAGGAAGGAAGGTGCAGAATGTATGGAAACTACACAAACTACACTCCCTGCAGCTTTCCTATAACTGAAAACTATTCTAAAATGAAAGTTTTACTTAATGTTTTAAAATGATCTGTTGCGAATATTGGTGCAATTGTACCTGGCCCTTTTAATTGAGTCATCAGAAAAGTCCTGATGCATTTTGCATTAAACAAATATGTCATGGCTTTACTGACAACACAATATTTGGTGGCAAAGCACATTTTTCAAAGAACTTTGTTTAGAATCATACAGAAGATTTTTTGTGTCCCTTCCTTCTCACATTTCAATGGTCTTGGAAGACAGGCAGAAAGGTATGACTCTTTGCGACCCATGAAAACACGAATGAAGAGACAATGACCACCTGCAGCCACTGAGCCGAGACACAGCCCTGGCCCCAGCAGGGCTGCCCTTGTTCCTCCATCAGATCATTTGATAAGGGGACCTCTTCTGTGGCAGATCATTGTTTAACTTTAATCAAAATATTTCCTAAGGAGCCTGTAGAAAAGCAATTGAAGCATCAGAAAAAGTTTATAAATCTTCGTGCTGGTAAAGTCCTTAATGTTTTGAGCCTTTTTGTCATTTTGGCCTATTTATCTTCTAAGGTTCTTTGCTGGTCTACATTGATCATCTTCTTGGAGAAGGGGCCTTTGCCCAGGTTTATGAAACTACCCACTTAGATGTGAACAATGCTAAAGATAAACACAAGTTTGTTCTAAAGGTAAGTGAGCTGAGCAGGTTTTGTACAGTATAGAAATGAATTTTAAGGGCCAGCGGGTAGCATATTGATTAAGGCACTGGGCTCCCACATGGTTGATGATGGTTCAAGTCCCAGACCTGGAGGTTTGAAACTCACACCGGATGCATGTTTGTGCATGCCCAAAATCTAAAGAGGAGAATGGAAGGAGAAGAGATTGTACTGTGGCCATCCCTCCTGGAGAATGGTTTCTTACTTTCTGACTCTCTCTGTGTCTCCAGTGAGCTCATGTGCTCTATAACAAAAATCTCTCAAAAAAAAAAAAGAAATGAATTTTAGAACTCTAGTTTGCCAACCTCTTGTCTTTGTTGTGTGTGTTTTTTTTTAAGCTGGTGGTATTTTCATTTATGTTTACAGTCAACAATTAAAAATTGGAAACTGTAAGAATTCAAAAGAGCCTTTTTACTGAAACGATCTTGCAGCAAGTCCCATATCGCATGGCAGTTCCTAGCCTGTCACTGTCTCCCCCTCTTCATTTATTGGGGATAGAGGTTACTTTCTTGCTGTCATTTTCCAGGATGTGAGGCTGAACATGAATGTCATCTACCTGATTTTCAGGTCCAGAAGCCTGCCAACCTGTGGGAGTTCTACATTGGGGTGCAGCTGATGGAGAGACTGAAGCCATCTGTGCACCACATGTTTATCAAATTCTACTCCGCCCACTTCTTCCAGAATGGTAGTTTACTAGTTGGGGATCTCTACAGCTATGGAACATTACTAGTACGTATGTTCATTCTTATGATGGCAACAGAAATTCAAAATACGTGGGACCAGCAGTTAGCGTAATGGCTGTCGCTGGACTCCCATGTAGTCGACCGTGGTTCGTGTCCCTGACCTGGCGGCTTAAAACTCATGCCAGGCGCATGTGCGTGTGTGCCCAAGATCCCGAGAGGAAAATCGGGGAGAAGGGATTGCGGTGTGGCCATCCCCCTGGGGGGTGATTTCTCACTTTCTGTCTCTCTGTCTGTCTGGCAAGCGTACACACCTTATAGCAAAAACCTTTTCAAAAAAAAAAAAAAGAAATTCAAACTACGTAATGGCTTGGCTTTGCACATAACTTTTTATGATCGGAACTTTTGTGGGTGAGTGGGGGCAAAGCTTTTTGACTTGAAATTTCATCGATCCCATGTAGCTAACTCAGGGTTTCATTTCCGTTGTTTCTAGAATGCCGTTAATCTCTATAAAAATACCCCTGAGAAAGTGATGCCTCAAGCCCTTGTCATCTCCTTTGCCATCGGCATGCTCCACATGATCGAGCAGGTCCACGCCTGTGAAATCATTCACGGAGACATCAAGCCAGACAATTTCATGCTTGGAAACAGGCAAGCGTGCTTCCATCGGGGTTCTGCTCTTAGCGTTTCTCAGCCTTTATCATCTGTGCTCATGCCGCTGGCCCTTGTTTGTGTTTAATACAGATTTTTGGAACAGGATGGCGAAGAGGACGACTTATCTGCTGGCTTGGCCCTGATTGACCTGGGTCAGAGTATAGACATGAAACTGTTTCCCAAAGGGACGACATTTACAGCGAAATGTGAAACATCCGGTTTTCAGTGCATTGAGATGCTCAGTAACAAACCATGGAACTACCAGGTAGGGAACCAAACTGAGAGGTCTGAGAATTTCCCTTTATTGCACTTACCAGATATTCTAAATGAATCTGGTGTCTGCTGGATTGTTGGAAGAGTCATGATGCGTTTTTGTATAGAGAAGCACATCATGACTTAACTGATGACCCAATAGTTTGAACTCATCTCTTAGGCAGCTCTTGAAGAAGAAATGGAAATTAAGACTGAGCCAGGGATGATATTCTATTCTTGAAAAAGATTTCTTATTAATTAGTTATAGACTCTGTTATTATAAAGAGGAAGCAGGGGTATTCTGAGTTCGATCCCAGGAACAAAGTGTTTCAATGGTCTGTTAACACTCTGGACTTCCTTTCCACCACATGGAAGGACCCAGCGTGGTGTGTTGAGATTGCATCAGGCTCTCTTGGCTTCCTTTATGGCCAGGGCTCACAGGGAGACTCGGGTAGAGCTGAGCAAGCCTTGGCTATTACCTGTGCTGCACTAAGGCAAGGCGGCCGACCTGATAGGTGGTGCAGTTAGATTCCAGATGCGTTACCACATCCAAAAGGCTCAGAATGTTTAACAAACTAGAATACTACATGACCAGGAAAGAGAATACTTACTGGGTAAATGGCAAGTTTTGAACCTGGGTTAACAAAGTCGACTGCCCTGTTTCCGGGTAAGAACCGTGTCTCGCCAGGAGCCTATGCCCATGATTAGGGGGTCAATGGCAGGTCTTATTTCTAGTAAGTTGTCACTGGCAGTGAGGCCACAGGCTGCACAAGTGGTGGTTTAGCATCTCCTGGGGTGAGTCAGGGGAATAAACAGTCATCTCCTGTCCTGCGCACGTGGGCCGTACCGGAGTGTTCCTTTCTGTTATGAGCACATCGTATGCCCAGAGGCCTTGGAGTGCTGTCAGAACAATGATGAGTCCCCAGGAGGGGACTGGGAGGACATCCGGACTGTCCATGTGGAGAGGGACGAGGGTGTCGTTTTCCCATGTGACAGAACAAAGGACCTGACAACACAGTGGCTTGAGAAGGACAGACCTTTCCAGGGGACCACTTCAGGATGCCTGGGTGGTCCACTTCCCTGGGAGCCTCTGGCAAAGCCTAGAGTAGACGGGTATTCAAAGGACGTAATAGTGGGAAGTCAATGGAAGGCTTCTAGAATTCTTTAACTCCTGCAAGGATTTCACTTGCTGCCAGGTTAGACTGGTATTGTAATATACTCACCTGTAAAGGACTAAGTCAGAAATACCTGTTTTCTGAATAGATTGATTACTTTGGCGTGGCTGCAACAGTTTACTGCATGCTCTTTGGCACTTACATGAAAGTGAAAAATGAAGGAGGAGTCTGGAAGCCCGAAGGTCTTTTCAGAAGGTGGGTATCAGCATTGGTGCTACAGTGACCGAGAATGAATAAAGTAGGCTTGGTTGCTTCAGCACAGAAAGGTTCTCTGCCACTGCATGGAAAGCCCAGACCCTGCCAGCACAGTGGCAGTGTGCAGTCCTGGGCCTGTGCACAGTGATCAGGTCACATAACTGTCACACAGCAGGTCATACTGCTGTTTCCCCATTTGTAAAAATGGGCAGCCATTGGGCCAGTAGCTGGCATGGTGGCTGAGGCGCTGGACTCCCACATGGTTGACCATGGTTCAAGTCCCACACCTGGTGGTTTGCTTTCTCACTTTCTCTCTGTCTCTCTCTGGTGAACACACATGCCATATAGCAAATTTAAAATAATAATAATAATTTTTTTTTTTTAAAAAAGGGCAGCCAGGGGACCAGCAGATGGCGTAATGGTTACATCACTGGATTCCCATGTAGTCAATCATGGTTTGAGTCCTGGACCCAGCAGCTTAAAACTCACACCATGTGTGCGTGCATGTGTTCCCAAAATCCTGAGAGACTGGAGGAGAAGGGATTTTGGTGCGGCCATTTCTGCTGGGGAGATTTTTCACTTTTTGTCTCTGTCTCTGGTGAGCTGCTGGGGGGATTTTTCACTTTTTGTCTCTGTCTCTGGTGAGCACATGCACCCTATGACAAAAATTTCTCTTTAAAAAAAAAAAAAACATGGGCAGCCAGGACCAGCCCTTTATAGCTCAGTGGTTAAGCACTGTGCAGAGAGAACTGCATTTCACATGGTTGACCATGGTTTGTGTGCTGGCCCCAAGGGCCTGAAAAACATTCTGGGCATGTGTGTGCATGCCCGGGATCCTGACAGGATAGAGAAATGAGGGGAAAAGGATTGCGATGTGGCCAAAACCCTGTTGGAAGGAGCTTTCTCGGTCTTTTGTCTCTCCCTCCTCTCATGCATATGTGCACACACACTCTGGCACTTAAAAAAAAAAAAAAGACACCCATCCTCACAGAATCAGAGACGGTGCCTGGCTGAATGGCTGGCCTTCGGGACACACTCAGAAGCTTCTCTCCACCCTCTAGAGGAATCACCCACCATCCCTGAGCCTCAGGATTTTGCTTGTTCATTTTCTTGTCAATGGAAATGGGAGTAATACTTATCCTAGTTTTCTCAGATGTGTATACAAAGCAAAGGGAATCTTAACGTACATGACAGCACTTGTGAATGACAAAGGCATCTGAGAGGCAGCTCTCTGTTGCAGGATAGGGTTGTCAGTCCTGGCTCTGTGGTTTCTCAGACTATTTTCTCATCTAAAATCTCCACGAAAATTCATGACTAGACAGGAGCTCCTCCTACCAACGTGATGGTTCCCCTAACATAATGTGTGAACACACTGTGGGCTTAGTATTTGGTATCTGCATGTTCATTTTATCAATTATATTTCCTTAACTTTTTTTGACATATGAAAACAGACACAGAAAAGCACACTCATCTTCAGCGTACAGCCTAGCCAGCTTTACATTTTTTATACATTTAATTACTGTACATCACTTTGCTTGTAAGGTGAATTTACCCAACATGAATACACTTCACACCACTCCAGTTGAGAATACAAAACACATTATCATCAACAGATAATAACTTCCTTCTGTGTCCCATAAATGTCTTGCCTCTATTTTCCTCTTTAATATTTTTCCTTATACTCTTCCTCTTCTCCCACCTTCTTCCCATATTGTCTCCAGAATCTATAACCATTTTTAGTGCTTCTATGTCCTCTAATCTCTCCATTTCCACCATAGACTTTGGACAGTTGATATTTGTTGATTAGATACATACAGTGTTTCTCTTTCATAGTCTGGCTCACTTCACTTAACAGTAAATCTTCCATATTCATCCACTTTCTATCAAATGCCAGGGTCTTGTTTTTTATGGCTGAGTAGTATTCCAGAGTATATGTGCCACACTTTTTCAATCCATTCATCTGTTTGTGGATATTTATTTGGGTTGGTTCCATGTTTTAGCAATCATGAATAATACCAAAGTACACATAGACATACACGCACTTTCCAACTGAGCGTTCTCCTGTACTTTGGGTAGATGTTCAGGAATGGAATTGTTGGATCATAGGGTAATTCTATTTGTAGATCTTTGAGAAACCTCCATATTGTTCTCCACAGTGGCTGGACCAATTTACATTCCCACCAGCAGTGTAGGAGAGTTCCCCTTTCACCAGAGCCCCACTAGCACTTATCATTTATTGTTTTGTTTTTTTTTAATCTTCATCATTCTGACCGGGATTAGGTTATATCTCATTGTGGTCTTATTCTGTATCTCCCTTATGATGAGAGATGTTGAACATTTTTTCATATGCTTTTTAGCTGTTCATATGTCTTCCTTCAAGAGTTGTTTATTCAGCTCCTTTTCCCATCTTTTGATTTGGTTAATTTTTTTTTCCAGATAAGCTGCTTGACTTCCCTGTATTTTCTGGTTATTAGTTCCTTATCTGAGGCATAGTTTACAAAGATCTCCCATTCCAGGGGTTGTTACTGTATCTTTTGCTATGCAGAAACCTTAATCTGATATAATCCCACTTTTCTACAACTTTATATACCTTGAAAGAATTTAAACTGGAACCTCCGTGGTTCTCATCCCCCCCAAAAAAATGAAAGGAAAAGAATCAAAAGTAATTTTATGAAAGGTTGTGTACTATACATAATAAGGTTAGGTTTGGGCTCTGGAGGAAAACTTGTGACATCTGTGCTTTGTTCTGCATAACAAGCCATCACATTTAGTAAATACTTTCTTTTTTCTCTTGCTCATAATCAAAGGACCAGATGGTTATTCAGAAGGTTTCCATCCCTGATACCACTGGAGAGAAAAGCCCAAAGTTAACTCTCAATAGACCTAGTGCTTAAGGGCCACAATTCTTTGGATAAGAGTACCATTCAATTATGTTCTACTTTTTCCCCAAACTCTTAGCTCCAAATGCTGGAATGTTTGCAGATAACTTTAGCAAATGTGGTAGCTGGAATTCAGTCTGAGCTCTTTCCTCGGCAGTCCAGCTTGTCCACCAGGCTCTGACGCATGTGCAGTCTGGGCCTCATCAGACCATTATGCCAGCTTGTCAGACTTGCAGTATAGAATAGACAGCTAATCAAAGGCAGGTAGATTTTACTTAAAAAAAAAAAAAAAAAATAGGGGCCTGGACAGTGCTGCAGTGGTAAAGCATGACATTCTGCAGGGCTGACCCACGTGGGAGTTTCATTCTGGGCTCACATCCAGAGGTTTCCCTGAGTATACCAGGCATGCAAGTGTGCATGATCTGGGTCTGGGCAGAGCTGAAGGTGAATGATGGTATCAAGACCCTGTTTGGGGTGCTCACACATGCTCACTCTCTCGCTCTCTCTGTCTCTCTTGTGTTTAGGTGAGAATTATTACATTAAACTGCCCAAGCCTATGGAAGTGAAGTGCAGGAGTGGGATTCCCATGCATGTTGAGGCTACTTTCTAAGTTTTTTGCCATAGGGTACATGCGCTCACTGGAGGGGGACAGAAAGAGACAGAGAAATGGACAGTAAGAAAGCACCTCCTTGGTGGGATGGCCACACTACAATCCCTTTTCCTCCATTCTCCTCTTGGGATTTTGGGCACACACGTGCACACACACATCGAGTGTGATGTTTAAGCCACCAGGTCTGGGGCTCAAACTGTGCAGTTGGCCATGTGAGAGTTCAGCACCTTAACCACCATGCCACCTGCTGGTCCCAAGGCTATATTTTAAGATCATCTGTGCTTTGTCTCTGCAGGCTCCCTCATTTGGATATGTGGAATGAATTTTTTCACATCATGTTGAACATACCAGACTGTCATCATCTTCCATCATTGGATTTGTTAAGGCAAAACTTGAAGAAAGTATTTCAACAACACTATACACACAAGATCAAGACCCTGCGAAACAGGCTTATCGTGTTACTCTTAGAATATAAGCGCTCGCGAAAATAACATTTGGATGTGACACTCCCTGGAAATCACTCTGTAAATGCTAACCTGCTCTTTTTACCGTAGTATTTTTCTCACAATTGATTGTCGATGTAAATGTTTATTAAAAATAAATTCCACAGAATACATCCTTAAATATATCTTAGTTGTAATAAATATTTCAACAAAATAGTACAGTGGGTCCTAGGAAGTAGGCTGACTGGGCTGCTGTTGGAATATTAGGTTTTCTGAGAATAATTCAGATGTGACATTCACTAAAAAAAACACATTTTAGAGGCAGCAGGTGGTGTGGTAAGGCGCTAGACTCCCACGTGGCTGACCATGGTTTAAGTCTCAGACCTGGTAGCTTCCTTTCTCACTTTCTCCCTCTCTCCCTCTCTCTCTCTCTCTAGTGTCAAATTGGAAAATAATAATAAAGTTAAAGTAAAAAAAAAAATTCTTTAAAAAAAAATTTAATAATAAAAAAATTACATTTTAAATATGGACCTGTATACTTTAAGCCAAAAAAGGACCAAGACAGCTTTTTTCTAAATTTGAATTTTTTCCGTTTGTGTAAAAAAAGAAATAATTTCCTAACTATATCCAGGGTACTTTAAGTTTTATGAATAAAGCTTGCCTGTCCTTTATTGAATCATTGCTATCTATAAAATAGAAATCCTTAACTCCTCTTTTTTTTTATTGAAATTTACTTATTTCCATTCATTTACTATACATCATTATAGCATACAAAATGACATTTTGGATGGAAAATCACATTTTGTATGCTGTGACAATACTTAGGGTATGAATGTAAACTCCTCTATTTTTTTTTTTATTTTTATTTTTTATCATCATATCTTCTTCATATTACATTGGATTACATATAACTTTACTGTGTGTTACATTGTTTCTTCAAAAGGGAATGCCATGCACGTCAGTCAGTACAGAGACATTAATCTCCCCACTTCAACATTCCATATCTTTTCTGTTTTCCCCAATCATTATCTTTATTATTCTAATTATTTTTATAAAACAGTCAATTGCTATTTCTCGTTTTGCTTGTAAAAATACTTTGCCCATCATGAAACACTTCTCAGACCAATCCAGTTGAGAATTCTATACATGTCATCATCAACAGTTAATAAACCCTATCTGTTTCTCACTGACGTCCTGTCTCTCTATCGCTCACTTGCTATCTTTCTCTATCCTCTTCTCTTCACTTACCCCATTCCACACTGTCCTATTCTCATTAAGTACCTTCACTTCAAGAATGGTAGAGTAGTTCCTGTTCTTCCCTGAGGCAATGCAGGGCTGGTAACCATCATCTTCTCAAGTTGCAAGTTCTCAGACCTTGTTTTCCGCTTCAGCTTGCTGGTCCAAAGGCCACACGCCGGCCCTGGAGAGGCAGCTGAAC